GAATATTGTTATGCGGCCGCTTGCCACTACTACGGTGAGTCAACTCTGTTTTCTATAAAAGGCTCTAATCATTGAGAAATTATTGGGTACCTCAGGGGTGCCACGTCAAAGCCACTAACTGGTACCCCCATCCAATAGAATAATGCTATATGTCATATTAGAGAAACATTCCATGTGAGCTTTAACTAAGCCCAGGAAACAAATAGACAGAAAGTTAACACCGTTTAAAATTAATTGAGTCAAAATTTTCAATTTTCAAATTTCAAATTTCACATTATAATATTTTTTTTCCTCAAATACCACAAAAGAAAAATTTTTGGTCGAAAAATGAATAAAGCTGTTTCTTACTCCACATCTCACAAATGGACATCAAAATCTAGTAGAACTTGCCTCCATTGCCGGATGAACACCACCACAGATCTCTCTCAGTATGAATTCTTTCATCACTATTTTGTATTTCTTTCATTTTCTCGCAATTTTTGAGATCCATTGTTTCCAATGGGTTTGTTGAATTTTTTAATTTGAATTCATATTTTGATATTCAGCTTTAAATGTGTTAATAATTTTATTTTCTTGTTGATCAATGTTTTGTTTGAACACAGGTAACTTCGAAAAAAACGTAGGGGTTTCCTTTTGTTTGTGATGATGTAAACCCAGCCGAACTGTGGAGATCGGTCCAAACAAACCTATTCTTGGAGGTTCTAAAGAAAAAATACTGGTCAAGCCCTTGGTCTCAATGGGGAAAAAGAGGCAACAAGGAGAAGTAGGGAAGGGCCAGTATGATCTTGAACGAGAGGAGAGACAGGGAGCACCTAGTAGAGCCCAGTACTTGTATGGACTCATAATGCACTTTTTGCTGAGCCAAGCTTGGCTTGAGGAGAGATGCACAAAAGCTCTCTATCAGAGATCCTACATTTGGTTTTTGCACATCCCAGTGGTGGTTTGGAAACTCATTAAAATGCTGTATTCGCTGGTGTACATCTGAATGTTTGCTTTGCAGTTCAATTAGTAATCCAAGGATGCCCATTATTTGTATATTGATTGGATTATCAACCACTAAGTTTCACTATTATTTTTATTAACAAACAAATTCTCTCACAAGAATACCTATTATTTTTATTGATTGAGCCTTTTTCATGAAAAAAACATCTACCAAGAATAATCTAAATTCATTATTTGCTTGAATAAAGGAAAAAAGATTTTTTTTTTTTTTTTTGACAAGTACATCACTGGACTTGTATCTTCTTATCAAAAGCTTCAGATACCTCCATCCTTAAAACCTTACAAAAAAACATTTGGTTTACCCTTTTAAATTGGTTTCAGGGTTTAAGTACTGATACAAGAACTTCAAACTACGGATCATGGAATAAAGACAACAAATTTACTAAAAGTAAAGGCAAGGCAATCACTCATTACAATCCAAACATTACATAGTATCCTTAATATGATAAAAGTGCAATTCTTGGAAGAAAGTAGCACTCTCTAAACAAAATAAAACAATTTCAGACTATTGATCTTCATAAGTCATCCAACTTCAACTTTCATGTTGGCCAATTGGTAGAAATCCTACAAAAAATATTTATATGTGTGTGGTTAGTTAAGAATAGTGTTGTTTAGAATGAATTATAGAAAAAAAATCTACAAAGTTGTACCAATTAAACCATCATCTTTTAGGGAATCAACAGGATTTAACGACTCTTGAGATATTAGCATTTGTCGGCTTCTTTCACAATCACTGGGGTTGTTTGAGATGACATCCTACAAAAACGTGTTGAAAAATGTCATGCACAAATGAATATATAACCTATAAATTATTTATTTACTATATGAAGACGGGTTATTAATGTATTTTGAGTTATTAAAGTAAAATGAAATGTACCTCATGGGAAAGACTTGGATTGTAAAAATTAGCATGCATTGGTGTACCAAATGAACGACTATTCGTCATATGAACATGGCCAACTGTAGTGTCTGAGCTACCAAAGGTGCTAACTGAATGCTTTACACTTGTTTGTGCTTTTGGTGCTGCAATAAATAATTATAACTCATAAGTTTGGATAGGTAAATTCAATATGAAAAACAAATTGAGTAAATGTAGAGAAAATTGTGTTACCTCCTGCCTTCTTACGTTTTTTCTTTTCCATATGGCTTTTTAACCGTGCATTGGTTATTCCCTTTTCCCTTACACGTAAAGGATCCAATATGGACATATCATTAAACTGTACACAACTTTCCGCGGTATGATCACAACTAGAATCAGCACTTCTTTTATTGAGATTGCAAGCCTCCATTAGTTTTTGAGTTTCATCCCACATTGATTGCACATGGCTTTTTGCCACATTTTTTCCTTCATCACTCAAAACTAAGTAATTGATAGCACGATAAGCCTGTTGAAGTAAGAAGTTCCTTTCTACAGTTAGTGATGTTTTTTTTTGCGTGGATAACTCACCTTGGTCAAAAACAACATTTCTATCTTTTGCACATTTCTTCCATCTATCAATAATATATTGAGATGGTATCTCGGTGATATTCCACAAATTGAGAACCTTAAGTGCATGCCGACACAACCATCCCGCGGACTCAAACATTTTACAAGAGCACGTGACGTTATAATTTGAGGAGTCGTACTATATAATGTGGCACTCTTTGTGACGCTCCTGAAACGCACGATAATTGTGAAGTTTACTAAGACTACCAAGTTGTTCTAGATGCACCTTCAAACTAGAAAGAAACTCATCTTCAAATAAGTAATAAATACTAGTTGTATAAACACTAGCTGCTTGTTCCAATATTTCACTCTCTCTTATTTTTGGTTGCACCATTCTATGTTTACAACGAAAATCTTCATGAGTCTCTGCCAAACGCATCTTCTCACATTGTTCTTCATAATGTAGCACAAATTCCATTAAGGCCATGGTCTTGCAAGATATCTTCTTTAAAACATTATTCATATTTTCACTCCTTTGAGTGGATTTAATACGAAGAGTGAAGGTGTCTAGGCTAAAAGCGGGACACCACTTTTCTTTTAATCCATAAAGTGTTTTAAGCCATTTGTTGCCTCCATCACAAAATCTTCTAATCATCTCATCCCAAGTTGCTTCAAATTCATCCTTTTTTTCACAATGTAGACATTTGTGAAACAAACATAATTGGCATACAAGCTCCCAATGTTTTGAGTTGCATTCTTCGAAATGTGCCATGAGCAAAGACGATGACAAGTATTTGGAAAAACTTTCTTAATGGCATTTGCCATTGCTTGACACTGATCGGTAAATATAGTCTTCGGTGCTTTATTCTCCATTGCCTCTAAAAAAGTTTCAAATAACCAAACAAATGAATCGGTAATTTCATCTAACAAAAATGCACAACCAAATAAAATATTTTTTAAGTGATGATTGACCCCGACGAATGGAGCGAAGATCATGTTATATTTGTTTGTTCGATATGTGGTGTCAAACACCACAACATCTCCAAAACAATCATAATCAAATTTTGATCTCCCGTCTCTCCAAAAGAAATTTGCCAAACGACCTTCCTCGTCTAATTCTTCATCATGATAGAACATATGGTCTTCAATTCGACAACACCTGAAATGTTTCATTATACTTTGTGCATCTCCTCTTTTAATCAGATTTTGTTTCTTTTCATTGATAAAATTGTGACAATCACTTTGAGTAAATCCAACATGTTCAGACCCACCAACTTCCTTTGAAATATATGAGTAGGCTTTTGTCCCTTTTATACCAGCATCAACCATAGAATTAATAATGCTAGCACTAGCAGAATCTATATTTCTATTTATTTTTAAAAATTGTCTCTCTTCTGGAGCAACAAAATCATGGTTGTGATCATCACTGAAATGACTTACCTTCCACATTCCATTTATAATGGAAAACCTAATTGAAGCCTTACAACCCATTCGTGTCACCAATCTTCTAACCTTTTTCAGATCGGAAGGATCACCATATCGATATTGTCCTGAAAATGCACACAAATATTCACGTTGCCTGATTACTCCACCACTCCCATGTCGATAATTTCCTTTTCGAACACTAAAACGCTTCTTCAAAGCATACTCACAGTACAATCTATATGCTTCATCTTCACTAGAAACTTCCATTCCAATTTTAAGTACGTTAAAATCCCCATTTTCATTTCTCAACAACTCTGAATCTGATGACTCCATTTTGATGAGTTGCCTATTAAAACCACAAAATCTATTTACAATAAGAAAACCTATCAAACTACTTTTAGAATTAGAAGGACAAAAAGAAAACGAAAAAAGAGAGAGTACTTAATTTTGACACACATTAATGATATCCATGACACATAGAACAGTAGTTGATTTATCAAATTGATATGACTTGCAAATACTATTACCTTTTTAACACTTCAATTAATTCTCATTATTATTATTATTTAAGCAACAATCAATACATAAATCAACAAACAATGACTGGTGTCTAGGATAACAATGTAGAACAAGGAGAATAAAAGCAGTCCATTAGAAAATAATATAGCAGAAATTTTAGATTTTCACAAGATTAAAAAAAAGTGATGGGAGAAGATAGAATAATAATTGGTAAACTCATACCTCTTCCGGTAACTTCTTCGTTGTAGGCTTTGTCGACTAGAGAGAAAATTTTGGACTGAATTGTTTATTGCCACTATCCGGGATGGAGTGAAATAAAGAAATATTTTTTCAGAAGTACTTTATGGGTTTGGGGAAAAGAATTTTAGGCGGGATTTTGGGTTTGGGGAAAATAATTTTGGGCGGGATTTTTGTTTTCAGCGACTGTTTAGATGGTGTTAACTTTCTGTCTTTTTGTTTCCCAGTTTTGGCTGAGTTGAAGCTGACATGAAATGTTTCTCTAATATGACATATGGCATTATTCTATTGGATGGGGGTACCAGTTAGTGGCTTTGACGTGGCACCCCTGAGGTACCCAATAATTTCTCCTAATCATTGGCTTTCGCATACACTACTTGCCCGTATTACGTACACACACTACACACGGTTGGACAGAAGATGGAGACCAGCTTTAGAAACCCACACGTGTTCGTTAATGTCCTCCTTTCCATAACCAAGATTACTCCTATAGTTTCCCTTGAATGCAATTCAACAGAGGTGAAGATTCATGTTCGTTGTGACGATGAGAATAACGATGGGATTCTAGGTTTTGCAGTCTTCCACCGCGAGGCTTTTGATTTGTTCACCGGTCAACAACATATGTTCCTCACCATTGATGTTCAAGGAATGCTTGAATATCTTCAAGAATCTGGGAAAATTGAGCTATTCGTGGAGGATGAGTACATGGAAATCATAAACAAAAATGGTATGTCGATCTACACTAGCTAAATTTGAGTTCATATTCATGTTTGTTGAAACTTATATATATATATATATATGACGATGATATTTATCTCTGTGTAATTCAAGAAAACACCTAACCCAAAACAGGAAAAAATATCCTCCCCAACTCTCTCTCTCTCTTTAATTCAAGAAAAGACCTTAAATTTAAACCAGAACAGGAAAAAAGCCACCCCCAACTCACTTTACGCCATTACTCTCTCTCTCTTCGGATTCTATTTTGTGAACTGCTTGTTGGCATGTAACAATGCGAATTCTGTTTCTGGGCATATTGAGTAAACTGATTCACGTTCTTTATATATAACAATCTGTGATATATATATATATATATAGGATTAAATGCAGCAAACCCCCTGAACTATTGGCCATTTGCAAGAAACCCCTTAAACTAAAATTTTGTTGCAATTTACCCCATGATGTCAGATTCCGATACCGGAAAATTTGAAAGACCAGTAAAGTAGTACATAAATTAAGCTTTTCGTGTTCTTGAAAAACCAACAAAAACTCTGCAATTGGGTTGTTGGTGGTGAGTTCGGCGAGGATGAACTCGGCCGGTGGAGACGATGCATGGGCTGTGGATGAACTGCGGCAGTGCTCGGCCGGTGAAGAGGTCGGCGGTGGTGATGGGCTGGCAGAAGAGACCCACCGATCCCAGCAACAGATTCCTCGGCTTATCCAAACACTCCTCAGACGACATCCACCACTCCGATCCCAGCCACAGATTCCTCGGCTTATCCAAACGCTCCTCAGACGACATCCACCACTCCGATCTCCTATTCTTGCAACCCAAAACTTGGATGCCCTTTGATTGGAATCAATTAGAGTAATCAGGAAAGGGGATTTCACCATTGCTCGATCTCTCCGTTCTCTCTCTTCGATTGATTGTTTATTCCTCAGCAATCACAAGCATTTTTGTGTTTTCTTAGCTTAATAGCAACAGTAAAATTTGGGGATGCATTCAAATATATGGTTGATTGATTGATTTCATTTTTAGTTACAGTTTCTTTATATATAAATATTTATTTATATTGTTTCAGTGAGATTCTATATATAGAACTACATACATAAATGAATTTTTAGGAAGAAAGGTTTATATATAGAAAGATATGTGTCTGTATATATGGAGAGAGAGAATGAATGACTTACCAATTTTTTGGGAAGAAATGTACAAACAAAACAAGGAGGGAGAGAGACTGAAACAGGGATTAGGAGGTGTTTATGGAAGAAGGGTATTAAAGTCTTTTCATGTGTATAAGGGTGTTATGGTAGCATAATATTTTGTGTTATGTGATAGGCACACGGGGTCGCCGGCACCGGATGGGGCAAACGGCAAAAAAATGTACAGTAAGGGGGTTTTTTTGTACAATTTTTGTAGTTCAGGTTTCTTGCACGTTCCCCAATAATTCTGGATTTTTGCACTTTATCCATATATATATATATATATATATATATATATGAACCTCTCAGTGTGTATATATATAACCTCTCAGTGTGTATATATATAAATATTTATGTATGTATATATATATATATATATATATATTTGTATACGTGAATCAGTATATATAAACCTTCCGATAATACGTATTTATACAGAGTTTGAGCTTTGCTGAAATGTTTGTATACAGAAAAAAAGAAAAAAGAAAAAGAAAGAAACTCGTTGGTTCAATTTTGCTTTTTGTATGATAGCTTTGCATTTTTTTGAACTGTGTGGATAATTGAAGATTTCCTATATCAGAAAATGGTCAGTGCTAGATCATTTCTAAGTTTGTAAAATATGTTATTTTCCTAGTTTGAACCTGTACAGTTAAATGTTGCATTACTGAATTGGAAGTTTTAACAGAGCAATTTTTATTTTCTTTGAATGTTGTCGTCATGTTGTGAATATGTGATAGAAACATTTAATCTTCTCTCTTCATGGAAAGGTCTAAAGTAGAGCAAAAAAACAAAATGCTAGCTATGTAGTGACAAATGTTGTTATGGTGACATATAAATTTCAATCACATAACCTAAGGGGCTGACCTAGTGATTGTGCACAAAATGTGACCATGCCATTTTATTCAATCAGTTGTGAATTGATGTATTTGAATTCATCTTCTCAGGTCGCTGCAGATGTGACCAGGCCGAAAATGTAGTCGAAAACGTTCTGGATACAGAGCATAATGAGGTTCTGGTGGCCATTGCAGCTCCACTGTTGAGGACTTTAATGTCATCCTCCCCCACTGGAGGTGAAAAGTCCTCTCTTTTTTCTTTTTTTTTTTTAACTTAGATTAGTTTCACTTCCAGTGCGTTTGTTGGTGAAAGAACATACTATCTCAGTCTGAACTTGTGAGTGACAAGTTGCTTTAAGTGTAAGTTTTCAAACAATTTTTATGTAGTTTCTGTTTTGTTTGTTAACAATATTTTTTGAAAATTTTCCATTTTGTTTTTCTTCTGCAGAAAGATGACTTTGTTATCTGGGCAGCAGAGTCTGTATCCCCTCATGACTACCCGGATTCACATACCACCTTTCCGGTTATCATTCCATCCCGCATTGCATATCTGTTTGCACTAGCCGGCTTCTCAGAAACGATTTGGCTACACCTCTTCACAGCCTCATCAAAGATAGCTTACGCAACGAAGGATTTGAACGTTGTCATACGTTTCATTGTGTAGCTTTGGCCAACACAAATGTTCAGTATACGGTAAAATCAATGTAAGAATTTTTTCACTGTTTATGGATTCTGAACTGAAGTAAGCCTGAACAGTACTTGATAATTTTGCTTCCCATGGTTTGACTTTAGACTGATTAGACTTCAAAATGTTGATTTTTTTCCAGTGAACTGAATGTTATCCTTGCTTGATTTTGGTTTGGATGTCAACAAAAATAAAAAATGTCCATATACCATAGTCTTGCTGGCTAAAAATGTCATATATAGTTAGGAAAATTGTCAACCACATTGATACTGGTACTGACTTTGTCAAAACTTCCATCGTACATATTGTAAATTTTCGCCTACAGATTTTTCTTGATAGCCAAACAAGATCAAGACAGAAAATGAGGTAAGTTCATGGATATCATCAACCTTACAATACCTTTATTCAATTTTTGGGGTTATTTGAGATCGAACTTGGTGAGACATGAACTAGAGAAATCCGTTTTCTATTACAACATTGAATTGCTCCCTCAAACATTTCATTGAGACCATACTTAATCAGTTTAACCTTATTCCAGAATAGGCCCCCGCCATTGCAAATGTGCCTTTGGAGTATAGGCTCCCACCATTGCAACTTCGGGTAGATTGTTTTCTTGTTTTAAACTCATCAACTTCGTGTCACAACGGAACAATCTTATTATCGAGCTAAAACTCACCTTCTTGAATAGACTATATATCTCATGTAAAATATGCAGTATATTACCAATCAGAAAAACAATTTCATTAATTTCAAGTTTCAACAAAGAAGAGGCTTTACCAGGGTCCAATCTAGCTGTGGCATGGACAGAGTAACCCTATTGTAGAAGCCTCATGATCAGCCATGATTCTACATATCCCGTTTACACAGGACCTTTATCGATCTCCTTCCATCTCTCTCTCTCAAGAATTACTTGCTTTGATGAGTACGCAAATTAATATAAGATATATAATTTAAATATAGTAAGGTTCATCAGTCTATCTAATAGTCAATTCGGGTGTGTGAATTATTGCTTTACCATTCAAAAAAAAATTGTGGGTGTGTGAATTGTGTGTGTTTTTCTTGTTAATGATTTAAAAAAAATGAAAAAAATCATCTATCCAAGAGTTGATTAAAAAAAAAAAAAAAATTTAGAATGTGATTTGTGTTTCTTGACAATGACCAAAATAAATAAATAAATAAGCTTCATCTATCCAATGGTCAATTCAAAAAAAAAAAAAAATTCAAACATCATTTACACTTGAGTCATCACACGGCAAAACTGGAGAAAGTCAATTCAATTCAAATTTAGAGTAACGCACACAACACTCATTCAAGCATGCAATTAGGGACAAGGTCTGTAGTTATTGTCCACGGATGGAAGAGGTTTTATTGTTTGATGACTTTGACAACAACCCATGTTTGTCATGTAAGAAAATGCACATATGAAAATTTCAACAGCTTACACATAGAATTGCAGCTGAAAATGCTACCTTGTTTGTCATGCAACCACACTGAAACTGACTTTGTCAAAACTGCCATTTATACATACTGTAAATTTTCACCTTCAGTTTTTTCTTGATAGCCAAACAACATCAAGACAGAAAATGAAATGAAGTTCATGGATATCATCAACCTTACAATTCCTTTATTTTAATATTTGGGGTTATTTAAGATCAAACTTGGTGAGACATGAACTAGATCAAACCTTTTTCTCTAAAACATTGAATTGCTCCCTCAAACATTCCATCGAGACCATACTTAAACCTGAATCCAGAATCTAAAAGCTTCTTTGATGAGAGGCTGGGAAATATATAATATTCAACTTTGTCCAAAACACTGCAGAAAACATGGAAAAAAAAGAGAGCAGTTTACTTGGTACTTGTTCCAAAAATAAAAAAATAATAATAATTATGAAGAACATAGGACATTAGATAATTAGGTTTACTCTGCTGTGGGAATCTGAAATTCAGGGTATTTGGCTGAAAGAAACTCAGCCATCTTGTGCAGTGTTATCACGTTTGATGAACAAATGTACCTTCCTTTGGCATCAGGATGCTCAAGAAGGAATATATATGCACTAGCCACATCGTCTACGTACACAAAATTGGAATTTAAAATAAATTTATAATAATCCTCTTTACCTGCACCGATAAAATAAATTAGAATTAATAGACTGACTACTTTTTACATAAGTGATAACCATATTGACTTACGAATGAATAAACTTTTAGTGGATTGAAATGATCCATTTTTTACTTATGTGACAAGATATAATTAGTTGATGACATGTTATTTTTGGTGCAAAGAAGATTTTCCCGATTTTCAATTTTAATCCTTCTCATCTAAAGAGGCACTTACCTAAAATCATAGCCATTGCCATGAGCACAGAATTAGGTGGATTGGGACAAATGAAGGGACCAAATACTACAGGAAGAATCAGAGTCACAAGATCCAATCCATTTTTCTCAGCAAATTCCAGAGCTGCCCTTTCAGTTTTGGTCTTGGAACACACAAATGAACTGATTGATGGGCCGAAAGACTTGTAGAAATCAATATTAGTCCATGTACTCTCCTCAGTCTCACCCTGATCCTTCCTGTTGAACGTACAAGTCACTGAACTTGAAGTGTGTACAACTCGCTTCACTGTCTTTGAACTCAGGCAGGCCTTCAAGATGGCTAGTGTACCTTGCACTGCTCTTTCGGTTACAGTTTCTTCGGATTCATTTCCAGAGACATCCATGGGGTGAGCCACGTGAAAAACCCAGGTACACCCTTCAATGGCTGCATCGAAAATGTCTAGTTTGTTGAGGCCTGCGTTGAAGATTCGGAGCTTCTCTGATGCTCCTCGTAGGTTTGTAAGGTAATTCTGGTCACATTCAATATTTCAAGTGCATGTTAGAAAGATCGTCATGTTTTGGTTATGAAGTCTCTATAAAGCTTTCATTAACAATCTTTCAAGCTACTTTGAAAAAGGCCATTTTTGGAAAGAAAAAAAAAAAAAAAAAATTCATGGTGCTATTAAATGGCCTTTTAAGGGTGTCTTTTTTCTCTATTAATAGACTATATTTAAAAAAGGGCAAAATGCAATCAGATGTGCCTCTAGAGTAGATAATGGGAATTTCTTGGGAGGGGGGGTTAAGGTGGGATTGAGATCAAGTATAGATGTTATGGCATTGCTCCCGTCATTGCAAGTTTTGAAAAAAATTATTTCCTTATTTCGAACTCGTCCCTTCCAAATTATAATGAAGCAATTTTATCGTGTTAATGACACTATGTCTATCTCATGTAAAATTTATTGTATATTACCAATGAGAAGAACAATTTCATTAGTTTCCAAGTTTGAACAAAGAAGAGGCTTTACCAGGGTCAAATCTAGCTGTGGCATGGACAGAGTAACCCTCTTGAAGAAGCCTCGTGATCAGCCATGATGCTACATATCCTGTTCCACCTGTTACACACACACACGACCTTTATCTCTCTCCATCTCTCTCTCTCTCTCTCTCTATTTTCTTCAAGAATGTGTCATTAATTATACAATTAGCACTTAAATATGTCATTAGGGGCGATACATACAAGATGGTATGAGTCATATGACTATTACTGGTGAAAAAAAAAATAAAAAATATGACTATTACTGGTTGTCTCTTTCCAGAAATATTTTTTCTATGCTACCAAAAATATTTAATTTGTAAAACCACATAGATTGAGTTTAAATTCATCAATTTTAATGCACGCAATGGATTTGATTTGATTGAAACCACCATGGTAACAAACTAACAAAGTGCTTGGCTTTTGTTATTATATTTTTTGAATTTAATTATCTCATATTTTCATCAAAGGAATGTGTTATACTCTTTTAGCTTTAATTTATTGCCATATCTTTTGAATATTACAAGTGATTCCTTCACTTTTCTTGAATTTCATGAATTACAGTTATAATTCTTATTTCAAAAGTCACCAAAAACCTTTCCCAACAAAAAAAAAAAAATATATATATATATATATATATATATCTAAAACATTCAACTCACTATCGTCATCAATTTTAACATTATCATTTTTAATAGTTTCTTTCTTTGCTTATACCAAATCACATGTAGATGGTAAATAAATTATTGAAACAAAATGACAAAAAGTTATTGAAACAATTACAAAATTACCCTAAATTCGAATGAATACAGATATGAATGAATCCGGATATGTAATGAAGATACTTCTTCAATTTACCCTAAGATTTGATAGCTACTAAATTGTCTTTTTTTCCCTTTTTCTCATAATATCCGCGTGAAGGGAATCATTCTTCGATTAGGTATAACATAATAGGGCATCATTTATTGTCATAAGTCACACTATGTTGCCTAATTCAATTATTAAAACGAGTGAATTACCCTTAAAAAAATAGAGATAAATGCATGAATATATACTATTTGGGACCACCATAAAGTACCAAATTGCAACTTTCTTATTAGTTTCTTAAAATAAATAAAGTCATGTTTAAAAACTTTGAACTAATTGTTTTTTTTTTATTTATTTATTTAAATTAACAGACTCTGGAGGTAACTCAAGTGTAGTGGTTTATTATTATTATTTTTAATCTATTTTTCATGAAAATTTTAGTCCAAAATGAGTTGTACTCCAAACATAATACTACATTTGATAGAGTACTTAAAAAATGGGAAAATTATTGAAGCAACCATTTAGTTTTTTCATGATCCCCCACTCCATTGCATGTGTACTATATGTGTGTGTGTATATATTTTTTTCATAAGGATGTTTCCCATTTACAGATTTATAATGGTATGAATTACGATATATGGTTAAAGTTATATGCATATAATATTTTATATATTTACATATATATATATATATATATATATATATATATAGCATGAATTTTCACTTATCGAAAAAAAAACTATATATAATGAATTTTCACTAAATTATTTGTATATTTTTAAATTGACATTTAGAGGTTTGAACCGATATAGATTAGGAGATACCGTTAAAGTTTTTTGCACAACATTTATAATATATATATATATATATATATATATATATATGTTGATTTTTATTTTATTTATTTTGATAATATATACATCATATGCAAAATTGTCAAGTTGAAAGTCAACTCAAAAATATTATTTTTCTAAATTTAATGAATGAAAGAATTTTTTGATTTAGGACGGATATTATGGTATTTTGAAATAAGAGTTTGGAGAGTATTTTGGATTTAAATAATAGATTTTAATGCATATATAATTATTTTACCTAATTAGACTAAATTAAAAAATTAATTTTAAAAAAAGATTGATTTGTTATTTAAAGTTCCTACATCTACTTAAGTGTAATTTTTAATTAAAAAATTAAAAATCTTTGATTCAAGATTTAGATATAGATCCAATCATAAAGATTTTATAAAATTCAAAACCAAACTGAACTAATTTGCAATTATGATTCAACTTCTACAGTAATTATTGAACTGATATTAACTGGTTGAATTAAAATTAGATTCCGTAACTAAATTAATTTATCTAAAAAAAAAAAAAAAATTATCTATAATTTTAATTAAAATTCCGTAACTCCCTTCACACTTCAAATAACCCCACATCCCTTACATAGCATTTGTCAGTAGATGCACCGTTTTGAAATTTTGACAAAGACAGTACCTTCTAGATTTTGACCATCACAGAACCTTCCTTAAAATATACATGCACCTTAGAGTCTTTTGAGTCTTGGACCAACTCTCTCTCTCTCTCTCTTTAATAGGCTCTCTCTATATATGTGTCTCTTAAATTCTTAAAATTAATACAATTTATTAAAGTAACATTTTTTCTCTCTCCAAACATTTTTTCTCTCTGGGAGACCTTGTCTTCTTATTATTCTCTCTCTCTAGACATGGATTCTGTACTCATACCTAGAATCCATAAACCCTAATAAACGGACTTTTTATCTGGATTCACAGACTGAAACAAGAGAACGCACAGGAAAATAACTTATCGGTTCTGTATTGGAGTATGTATAGATCTGGAGGTCTGATGGCTTGGAATGTATTCAGGTTCTGTACAGCCCTGCGAGGCTTGGGCTCGATCATGATCTTGTTGGTACTCGGCGTTGTTTCTATAACTTATTACGCCGTAGTCGTCTCCAATTACGCCCCGGCTTTGTATGACGGTGGTCTCGATTCGCTCATTGCACTCGTTGTTTTGATCTTGTTTCATTGTCTGGTAAGCTAATTCAAATTAGAAACTTTTTTTATTTTATTATTAATTTTTTTTTTTTTTTGTAGTAACTGTTTTTGGGTCTAGAGGGCTTGTTTTAGATTTCTATGTTTTCAAATTTGCTAGCTTTGGTTGAGAATTGTATTAATTAGACTGAGATTGCTTGAAGTCTATGGATTGAACTTTGATTATATTTGGGAACTCAGCTCTTTGGAAGTATAAAAGTCAAATTTTTTATTTTTTTAAAGGCATAAATTTATTCCATTTCATTATTCAGCTCAAAAGAGAGTAAAAGACGGAAAAAAATGATTTTTTTTAGTTTCTTCTTGGTAAGATACCAGTTTATTGACGATTAGGGCTTTGTGATAGTTCACGCGGCTTTGTTGCTTGTTCAATTATGTTAAGAAAATTTATTAGTTACAGTAGGATTGATTAAAGAGTCTTCTTCAGCTTAGTAAAATTTAAGCTCATTGAAAGTCATAATGTATCCTTTCTTTTTATTGCTTGCATTTGTTTTTTTTTTTTTGAATAAATTGAAATTCGGATGAAGAAAGGGATATAGAATGGTGGATTTAGTTCAGAAGATTATAGAAAGGTTGTTGATGTATTAAATTAAGTGAAGCTAAAGCTAAAAATGAAGTTATTGTTATTATGATGCAGTTGGTGATGCTATTATGGAGTTACTTTTCTGTTGTTTTTACGGATCCGGGTACCGTGCCGCCGAATTGGAGGCCAATGTTGGACGAGGAAAGAGGGGATGCTGATCCATTAACTGGGTCTGAATTTGGTGGTTTGCCGGCGGATCCAGCAAACCCAAGGATCCGATATTGTCGGAAGTGCAACCAACTAAAACCACCTCGGTGCCATCATTGTTCTGTTTGTGAGTTTACATACACAATTCTTTTGAAACTTCCCCCGCCTCCTCAATTATTTCAGCCAAAATGATTTGCTTTTACTTAACTGTTTCAGGTGCGAGGTGTGTGCTAAAAATGGACCATCACTGTGTGTGGGTTGTGAATTGTGTTGGGGCATTGAACTACAAATATTTCCTTCTTTTTCTGGTATGCTCCCGTTTCTACTAAGCACAAATTATTTCAATCTACCCGTCAGGGTTGCTTGGATAGCAGGATCTCAGAGTTACTACCTCGAGGTCTCAAGTTTGAGTCCTAGTTTAAGCGATATCCATGGTCTGTGAGTGATTGCGGATATCCATGGGATGATATTGAAGCCACAAGTCTAAAGGGCGCCTGGATAGAAAGGTCCTCGTTGCTCAAAAAAAAAAAATGCTTTTAATTAGTTGATATTCTTCATTTAAAAAGGCACACTCACACTCTTATTTGGATAGGGTTGCAAAATATGAATTGCATTTCGTAATTTCTGTAAAATATGTTTCTGCTTCCTGAAGATGAATCAAATGAGCAGTCAGTTTTCTCTACTTATGGATTAATATAAATTTTCTCATGATTTAATGGATCTTGCCTATGGGATGCATATTATAATCTAGTAGCTATAACCATAGCCATGATGTGGTCTAGTGTAGTTTCATGTGATCTTTAGTGAGAAACTCATGGGCTTAGTGTTTTCTTCTTTTTCTCTTCCGACACATTTATATGTTAAAGTGGAAATTTTGTTTACTATAATCCAATGGGAAAGGAATGTGGAGTTATAATATTCTTGAATTGTGGTGGAGTGAAAGAGATGTTCCTAATTGATGAGAGAGGGAACTGGAAATGGTCATTTAGATGGTACAGGCTAAAAGTACTTTTTTTATTTATTTTTATAACTGTAATCCATTTGAAGGCAATGTGAAAAGGAAGGGAGCCTGTTAAAAAATGGGAATGGACATCTAGATGGTACAGGCGACAAGTGTGATTAAATTTGAGAAAAATATGGATTCTACATTACAGTAGGATGGGTTTATCAATTGATGAACTGATGAAGACCACTTGGAATTCAGGCATCCTGTGATTTAATAGAAGCCTTCTTATCAAATATCTCATTGGATCGGTTGTTACTCTAAATAGATTGAGCCATGCAAAACTAGCATGCTGCTTGAAAATTTAAATGGAAAGTAAGTGTATCATTAAGGCTCATCCAACGGCAGGATAGTTTATATCCAAGGATGAATTTTTACGTTGGTGTATGGTGCTTTTTGTTCAATAACTCTTGTCAACTATTTCTTTCTCAGGAATATTTAAATGTACTTGATGTCTCACAAAGAAATGCTTCAAGCCTTCAACTATACCCTTTGGGACCAATCTTTGCATTAGGCTGTGTGATTGTCAATGAATTCTATTCACATAGGTTTGAAATTCAACCATTCCTTTGGCAATTCCCCAAGGACGGTTAATAATTTATTCCAAGCTAAGATTCAAGGTTTGCTTCAATGTTTTCAGATCTTAACTAGGTGCTGAATATATATATTTTTTTCCTAATTGGTACTCACACACACATGCCTCCATTGAGGCTTGAACCCCTGACCTCTCTTTGAGAAGTAGGGGCTTGGTACCGCTAGGCCACTTGCCTGTTGGTAACTAGGTGCTGAATAGGTCAATTTAATAAGTATAAATAGTGGTTTAATTGGTTTCTGATTTATAAATAGTTGAGAATTAAAGAGAAATCTCATAAAATCACAGCAAAAATCAAGAACTAGAGGGGTAGATTAAGGACACAGCAGTTTGGAAGCTAATTGTAAGCATTCTAATTGGGATTCTCGTAGCAAGTTATTTTTGACAGAGAAAAGGGTCATTGATGTGCCTTGTACCTGCATTGCCTTACCATTTATTTTGGTAGGCAATGTTGCCCGCATTTGATGGATTTTTAGGAGGTGGAAAGGGGTGTTTGATTGGTTATTAGTTCCCATAAGTACTTCAGAAGAATAGCTGAGCTGCTTGAAGTTGCTTTTGTAACTGTGACTTGAGTTATGGAGGTATTCAATTCTTCATACTTCTATGTTCAGCATCGTTTTCTCTTCTTTTCATTTTATGGTATTTTAATTTTCTTTCCTTTCTATTTATCCTAGTGAATTGGTTGTTTCTGTAGTACCCTTTCAATTCATCCTCCTCCTCCTCCTTGCTTTGTCCCATATGTATGGGGTCGGCCACATGAAAGGAAACTTTCAATTCCGAGTCTCATTAATTTCACAAATATCAGTGGCTCACTCCATGTTCTAAAATGTTTTGTTCTATATGTCTTATCATCTTAATCATCTCATGTCTGTCTATGCCCAAAGTGGTTTTCTATCTTATCTATATATGTGCTGAGGATATATGTCAAAAAGTAGGACATGTTGTGCTACATGTCCACGAGGGCTTTTAGAAATTATTCACCAGACTTGCTGGTGAAGTGATGATGATCATGTCTTGGCTTGGGAATATATCCCTTTGTCTGAAGGCCCCTCTCCCCAACCCATGGAATAAAGAGAAAACAAATGTTCTTTATTATTTTTCTCTAAAAAGAAAACAAAATCCTCTAGCAGATCAAATCATATTTTAGAGAGAGATTTATTTCAAAAGACAATTATTTTTTAATTATATAAAACTTTAACCTAGTGTGGTCCTCATTAATTTAGGTGTTTGAGGGGTAGGCTGAGTATAGACCTAACTTTTAATCATTTTGTACAAAGTGGTTGTTCTCTCACTCTAACTTGTGTCTCATTTTTAGCAGTTCAAGTTTTAACAACTGCACCAAACAAAAATCCCTATTTTAATTGAATATATATGAATAATATATTTTATTATATATGTATGTAATTCTATGATATCTAATTTATGTTTGATTTAGTTACATATATTTAGTTTTCATTTAAAATAAAGGTATTGATATCTTTGAGGTTCCCTGAATGAATAATGATGGTCTATAGGGGTATCAGGGGTTTTGTGGCAGTAAAGATGGAATAAGCCTTACTGGGACTGGGTGTATGCTGGTTTTCTATTGTTACTAAATATGAGGGATTTGTTCTGTCATGCCCCGAATCCAATCTGGTCCTCACATGTTCCGCATGCTAGAAGGATTATAGGAAGAATGCTATTGCCCTTATTATGTAGGTAAAACAGTTACCCATGTATTTCATTTTAGTTATCCATGTGCCATACTATAAAGTAGGGACTTTTTTGTGGGTTAGCTTCTTTTTGCAAGCAACTATGGGAAGTGGGGTCGGCATACTTGTGGCTTATCTCATCAAAACTTGCGAATGCAGAGTTGTAGATAGGATTGCTGGGTTGTTCTTTGTGCGTACAATTAAGACAATTGCTAGTATTGGTGATGTTCTATGCCAGTATCCCAGGTCCACGGCATGAACTTGGCTGTTTGAGCTTGTTATAAAACATGATTTTGGTCCTTTTTTATGGCCTCAGAAACCCTATAAAAACATGGTTTTAGTCAAAAGTTAAAAACATGAGAATTGATAACTCATCTTACCCAATCTCTCAGATTCATATTCACAATTCTTTGAAGCCATGCCACGACAATTTTTGACTGCCTCAATTCAACACCATGTTTTAATTACCCGGTGGACCTCCTGAGATTTTTTCTCTTTGGTCATTTCTATCTATATATTCCCAGTCTTTCTACATGTCTTAACACTTTCTGCCCATTTGATTTTGGCCCAACATTCTGCTTCGCACACATTGTTTCTTGTGCTATATTAGTATATAACTGATTTTAATATTTTTAGTTTGATCTTAGTAAATCACATAACAAGAGATAGGAGGATATCAATAACACGATACAATCTCGGGGCGATCAATCCGACACTTGAGTTTCTCGTGAGTGGTCTTTTTGTATCTATATGTAATGTGGTGGTGCCAAGGTTGATCTATTTATTTTATTATAATGTTGTTAGATTTATCTGTTTTGGCCTTTTAGTTATGTTCAAGCACTCAGAATTCTATACTTGAGATATTTGAGTATAGAGCTCTTTATTTGACTTACCAACTCCAAGCCCAGATGCATGTATTCCAAAGGTCATACTGAATAACTGGTAACTGAACCTTTAGGAATATAGAATAATCTTATAGGAGCCTAGGAGGGAAGCATGATTGCATTGGACAGAAAAGCTATTTATCGGAATGGAAGTTGATTGTCATTTAGGATGAGTTAGATTGATGTAATATGCTCCAGGTTAGAACTTAGAAAATTAATTCCACATTTCTTAATTGAACTTCTTTTTCTGACATGTCTCGTTGCATTCAGAGAAGGATTTGACGTTTATAAGACGAGATAGCGTCTCAACGGACTCTTTCTGTAACTAAAAGATGACCTTTTTATGGTGTTACTTGCTTTTGTCATAACTGAATTTGTCATAGTATCATACTGATGATTGTCTAACTATCCACTTTGAGTTCTATAATTCCAGAGATTCTATACGCTAGCCATTGCATGAGGACATTGATTTTGTTTCATGTATCTAATTTATTTGTTTCTGGTGGTTAGTGGAATATGTTGCATATTAAAAGATTGCATTTTTGGGGGGTTAGCCATCCTGTTGTTGGGGCTACTAATTATGCTTTCTGGACATCTTATGACATGTTAAAAAGCATAGTTGATTATATTGTTTTGTTGATGCAGTTCTACACATTCTTAGAGACAAGTCTTGTGACTTTATCGTTACTGCCACATTTTATGGCATTCTTTACTGATGAAGAGATTCCTGGGTCACCAGGCACTCTGGCAACGACTTTTCTTGCATTTGGTAAGCTCTAATTAACCTATTTGTCTGAGCCCTCTTTTCATGAATCTATACATTTATGTAACCATTATTGCTGTATCCACAGTCTTGAACCTAGCATTTGCACTGAGTGTTCTGGGGTTTCTGATTATGCACATGTCATTGGTGGCTGCTAATACCACCACTATTGAGGTATTGACTTCTTCTTACCTCTGTATGCTAATTTGAATATAATCAATGATAGTCTCTGCTGTAATACTGTGTCTATTATAGTCAGAGTCTTGCGCTGCTTCTTTGTCTATTATAGCCTTGGGTTTGATTTGGGTGTTGGATTACATGTATATGTAAAAATTGAATAACTTGAGTATAAATATATAAAAAGTTATAACCAAAACTAAAGAAATTACTAAAAAAAAGAAAAAGAAGATGAAGAAGGAATTTAATAAAAGGCTGCTCATGACTATTAACATATAATAATATAATTGTAGATTAACTTATCGAAAAAAAAAATTATAATTGTAGATTTATGTGAACTTGGGACAGATCAACTTCAGATTACACAATTTGAGTTTGATATGGTTCCGACCCCTCAACTCATGCTCCACTTGAATTAAGTTTGCGTTGGAATGACTAGGGTGGCTTTCTTTGTTTGGACCGCTGTTTGGGGTAAGATTCTAACAATTGATAACTTGAGGAAAAGGGGCAATTGTATTGTTAATTGGTGTTGTCTATGCAAGAAAGATGGGGAGTCAGTTGATCACCTCCTTATGCATTGCCCTGTGGCGAACGACTGTTGGAATCTTATTCTTGGATTGTTTGGCATGCGTTGGGTAATGCCACGATCTACTAAGGAAATGATTCATGTTTGGAGAGGATGTCGTGTGAGAAGGGATGTACGCGATTTTTGGAGAATTGTCCCACATTGTGTATGGTGGTGCATTTGGAAGGAGAGAAATAGTAGAATGTTCAAAGGGAAAGAGTCGTCTACTGCAATGTTGAAACTTTACGTTTTTCATTCTGTGAAGAGGAGTTCTTGCTCCTCTTCTGATGATTTAATTATTTTCTTGGATTCTTTGGTGCCTTAGCCCCGGTTCTACTTCTGTATAAGGGACGCGTTCCCCTTTTAAACGCCTTTTTATATTATTATTACTTATCAAAAAAAAGTTTGGGTTGGAATAATTCAGAACTCATGCCCAATCCAAAATTGTGAAAAATGCTACCCAAGCCTGTGAAAAATCAGGTTGGTCTGGATTATTGCCCTAATTGTTACAACCTTCTGATGCAGGAATTGACAATTTGTCTTTTTGTGCATATTTTCAAATTATAAAATCTGTGGATATATAATTATATATATACACTTTAAAATGCCAGGACTGCTACTCAGTTCTTGGGTAGGTTTTTTGAGTAGATTGGTGGCCTTCTCATTTATCAACCCGAGAAGAGAACAAAAAAAGAGTAACGAATAAAGGTTTATGTGCATCGAGTTACTTCTGTAAAAAATGCTAAACATAATTCTATTTCTAACTCCAATGATTCTATTAGAACTTTTTTTTAAAAATATTTTTACTACAATGCACCTCCTTTAGAGGAAGGTGAAGGGATATGCACCGAGTTATTAATGGATTATTTCATGTGTGTGCAGGCATATGAGAAGAAGACCACTCCAAAATGGCGCTATGACCTTGGTCGAAAGAGGAACTTTGAACAGGTTGGTTCACTTAACATCAGATTGTTTCCGACAATTCTTCTTCTGATGGACATTCCCTTGTCCCTCCCTTTTTTTTTTAATTTTTTTTTGTGAAAAAAAAAATGCTGAGAAGTTGTAACGCACACTTTAAACAACTAAGCGTTACAAAGGATCAAAAGCACTGACATGACTAATGATATTGGGGACTGGGGACGTATATATCTTGAATGTATGTAGAGAACCTCAAACAAGGATATTGCAAGCAGTGCCACCAACATTCTAATGAAAATTTATTGTATTTACATCTGTTTAATACAAAGTAGTAGAAGCCAGTAAAAGAGAGCACTTAGAGATAGAAAGAGATATAGGAAACTAGAGAGCACTTACATTTCTTTTCATCATCTAGCACACTCTGTATTAAGGTGTTCCATTTTTAAAATTGCATACTTGTTGTGAGCTGGTGTTTGCTAACCGCTCTCCTATTGTGGAATCATATGACACTTGACTAAGGTTTTGGTGGTTGTGGATCAGGTGTTTGGGATAGACAAGCTCTACTGGTTCATCCCTTCTTACTCAGAAGAAGATTTAAGACGTATGCCGGCCCTTCAGGGTCTTGAATATCCATCAAAGCCTGACTTGGATGCGCAAGAGTTTTAAGATCATTCATGTCACATTCAGAAAGTCGGGTTAATTGTAACAGTAGCCCCGAGCCTCTGCAAAGTGTTCAATTTACAATTCTAATATACTGAACAGGTTGTAACTCTGGGCTGTGATTCAACCATTCCCACCGGCATCATCTTGCAGAATAAGGTTAAGAGGTATCACTCTGATCATGGAGCAGCTCGGGCATAACAGTGTATGTATTGCAGAAAAACGGGGATCGCCTGACAGGCTAATATCTATTTCATGTTTTTATCATCAATTTTTGAAAATGTGGGAACTGTTAGGTAAGGAATGGACAGATTCATGCGGTGTGGCATGCTGATGATCCCATAGGTTTTTATACGGTTCACTAGTAATGTAAAATTAACAGCTAGTCGTCGGGAATGGTGTATGATGGTTGTGATATTTTCCTTTGAATATTTATTCTCACAGGTTAAGTGCTTCTGAGATTGTAGTTGTCAAAATTAGAGTTTGTGCTTAATCTTTTTAGCACTTATCCTAATTTCTACTAGGTAAGTTGTGCAAATCAGCATTTGATTTCTACGTAATCATGTTTCTTGTAGAATGGTTGTAGAATGTTAGTAATGTTGCCGCGCCCAAGCTACTGATCCTAGTTTTGATGAGAAAAAGTATTTTTTTAACTTGCTTTACTTTCTGAAATTTATATTCTTTTTTAAAAGGGAAATTTTTGTTAATATAGAAGCAGGAAAGATTAAAATGATTGGTCGAGTGAAAGGGTATGAATATTCCAAGTGTCATGTATGTTAAAAAAATAATAAAAAAAAAACGAAGGCAAAAGAAAAAAATGAAAAAAAAAAGAAAAAAAAAAAGGGGAGAAGATAAATGTTATTTTTAATTTAATAATTAGTTTTCATTAACTATATATATTTATTTTGTTGTTCTTTAAAGTACTTACACTTTCGCAATTATTATAAAAAAATAATTTTATACTCCACTTTTGAAGGCATTAATAATTTCGCTTCCAAATAGGCAAATAGAGAGTATTATCTCATATTTTTAGAAATTTGGCTAAATCATTGGGCATTGCCAAATCAATGCTCTATTTGACTTATAAATGAGTAGACGAACCCACGAGATCTGGTGGCATGACGGGTGATAGTATAGAGATCTGGTGGCATGACGGGTGATAGTATGTTTCACAGTATGTTTCTATCGTATTTTATTTTATGGACTTTTGCTATGATTATATTATTTGAATAATATTATATTTTTTGCCTGTATATAATCTCTGTTTGAAACTATTTGAATAATATTTTATGGACAAATATGGTGATTATATTTACATCCCAATAGCTATAATCACTGTTTGAAATTTGAATACAAAATCTTTTTAAGGGTACATAAATTTGGTTTACTTTAGAGTTGTATAAATTATTTTGAGTTTATAGACTGATAGATTCGTGTTTTCGCGCGTGTGTATATATATATATATATTTTTGTAGTTCTGAGTTTTTTCATTCAAAGACATGTTGTGAAAAAAAAAAAAAAAAAAAAAAAAAAAGAAAACATGTTATATTGGATTTTGATTGTCTCATTTTGGACCCACTTTTGTCCAGGTGACATTATACTTGGTTCGTGTTCGATGTCTTTCTTTGGAGGAAAAGATCCATTTGATGACCTAAGCATGTGGGCTGATGACCCATTCTTCGATTATCCAATTGATAATTACATATCCCACATGGACCTATCTAGCATCAACGATGGTGACCCATATTTTTCCGACCCGTTTGATGGAAAATCTTGTTCTGAGCCTCAGCCGAAGGAAACAGCTTTTGATGAATTAAATACTGTTGATGGAGTAAGTATGGAGAAGTTTATCAATTAGGGCACTACATGTCTTATGATTAATTGGTTTTTTTTAAACAAAATAAAATTTGAAAGAAATTGAGAGCGAAGACTCCATGTCCCACTTCACTTCTAGTTTTTTTTATCTAGATTAACATGAAGTGTTAGGGGTTTTGCCCTTACTATTCCGCAAGGATTTAGGAAGGTACCTCCCCATCCTTAGATCGGTAACTCGCTTAATATAGTCCCACTTCAAATCTGAGATTTGATACTTCTTAACTCTTGAGGCACTCGGGCCAAGTAATCTTGCCACGGGTCAAACCGTTGAGATTCGTCACACTCATAGTTGAATGCATCAAACTGGTAAAAAAATCTTCTGCCTAAATATTATTGCTCTTTAATTTTTGTCTTTTGATTACACAATTTGTGTTGACTTTGTTGGAGAAATAGGTGGGTCGGTTAGATATGACACAGGAGGATATAACAATGGCACGGGCACTGTATTTTATTTGTAGAGGGATCAAAGATGAGGTATTTGAATTGGTGTTCTTTTAGAGAAAGATGATCGATCATTAACTGATTCAAATATTGAACAAAATTTTAAAAAAGATTTTATCTAAACAAAGTGTTTACTCGAGTAGGACTAGTTTTGCTTATGTAGGATGATCCCCTTTCCACGAAGAACACTACAGGTGGCAAAGTTGCTTTCTTAGATGCGTTTGCTTTTTCGGAAGAAGTTGAGAGGTCTTGTTTTGGCTGGGATGATTGGATCAATTTGCCTGAATATGAAGGTAATTTTTGCTTCTCATCCTAATAATTTGGTATATCATTTAGTTTATTGCTTATGGCCAATATTTAGTTAAATTTGGTGTCCTCAAATTGACCCATATATATTTTTTTTATGCTTATTTTTTACGATTCGAAACGATGATAGATGTTTGAACCTGATGTATATGAAATTCATATATCTTGGATTTATTTATTAAAATGATCATCCCCAATTCTTGTTTTTTTGAGAATCAATTGCAACGTGGCAAATATGCTTCATTACGGACAATAATAAAAATGTTTTCATTTAGGCTTTCTCGAGAAGACTATTGAGTTTAAAGAAAACCCTTATATCATGCTGGGTCAAAAAAATATATTTAGGTCGTCATCCTTTTTAAGTCTTTGAAGTCACAATACGTCAGCAAACCTTGAGAATGTGACTCTCGTATCCAAATTAAATACTGGCATTGTAACAAGTTATCACATCTTGAGGGTATCGCCCTTGAACGCAAAAGAAGCACTCGCAGGTTGTGTAGAGTATGGGACGAAACAAAGGCATGGCCTTCTCCTGTACCCATCACTACTATATGGGACACTTCGAAGTATTTTAGATTGTTGAATAAAAAGTTCGAAAATATTTAACACAAATAATAGGCCAAACCAAATGGATGATGAACACATGCTGTAACAGAAACACTCACAATCACCATTAATGCTTAGTTTAGAGCCCAGCACGTGTATCAAAAATACTCATAATCACCATTGATGCTCAGTTTAGAGCCATTAAAATTTCAACTAGTATTGTTGTTCTTCGGCCAAATGCATTTAATGCCTGTAGAGGTTTAACACACCACACCACACTAAGGCATGGTGCAAAAGAAGGAATTCAGTGTTGCCAACTAATTTCTCCCTAGACTTACGCTTGGTTAAACTCAATTTATTTATTTACATGTTTTTTCAGTAGAGGCTACCAGTACATCTGCTGAGCTCATGGTAGATGCCGAAGGATGGTTCCAGATACCTGATCCAGAGGATCCAGATATGGAGCAGCTCTAGGGCTCTTTCATCTTGGCAGATTAGGAGTTTTGGTCACCTTTTAGGGTTGTTCAAGAACTGCATATAGTAGCAATAGTACTAATAGGACTTTTTACTTTATTATCCACACAGTGATTTTACTTTGGTGATACTTGTGCTTCTCTTATGTGACATATAAATCCGGCAACTTTCTTATGTAATGCCATTTGAACAACCTAAATCTTAGGTGTCTGTATTTTTTACTTTTTTTGGTGATAGCTTTGATCGACAATAGGAGAGTACTAGAGATTTTTGGTTATGTTTTTCTTTATAATTCTTTGTGCGTCTAAATGAAATTATAGTAAATTGAACTTAGACTACCAAAAGAAAAGGTTTGAATATTTCATATGAAACATGTAAATCAAGGCTATATATATATAGTCTATATAGTCCATGTCTCAATCTCAATCTCAATCTCCATTATTTTTGGGGGAACAAATTTACATGACAAAATGTACAAGTGGAGATGCAGAAGAAGACAAAATTAACATCATCTTCAAATAGGGTCATGTGCCTCGGGTTCAAATTTTGTCCAGTTCAAAGAACTTTCATGCAAAATGACCTCAAAAGGGACATTTTAACCACCCAACCATGGCATGGCGAAGAAAATGCACTCCAAAGTATCAAAATTGGAATCTAGAAGATGCGCGTTTTCAACGCAATTATATCGTATTTTAACACATTATTTCAAGTTGATAGTAATATTTTGAAACTAGATTTAATTATGTCGAAAATTTGTACATATCATGATTTTGTTGACATTAAACTTTTACATATCATGATTTTATTCAAGGTAGAGAATCCTGACATCAAAATTCATCCCCTGAACAGATGCTCCTCTCCTGACTGTTGATCTATGTAGCTGATCCAACGGCTAGTACTCTTAGGAGAAATCGTGGTCCCACCTATGTAAGCAATATCTAATCCATTCCCCACTGGAGTAGCCACTGATCTCACGACACGTGTTGCGCCATCAAGAACCCTGCTCCATCTGAACCCAGCCACGATCCTTTGGTTAACATTTTTGCATGCTAAAACTGCGCCCTGGTGGCTCAACTTAGCAAACCTAAGCACTCTAGCAAGGTCCCTGCGCCGTCCATCCACCACCAGGAAATCAACACCCACCAGCCCTACCATCATCTCCTCAGCCTCTCCGACCACCACTTCCGGTGGCGACACACCGGCCTCACGCATGGTGTTTACAAACTCTAATCTGGACCGTTCATCAGACACCATGCACACGTGTCGGCCACCCGTTTGACGGGCAGCCATAGCTAAACCTATACTGGTCCCCACTGCACCTCCGTGCCACCACGCCTCCACGATCAGCTTCGCGTTCCAGCCGCCGGCCATGGCGGAGATAAACTCGGCCACACCAGACTCCTTGAAAAGCTCACACTGTATGATCATATGATATATAGAAAAGTAAGAGAAATGTAAGAATATATTGTTAATTAATTTCATGCATATATATATATATATATATATATATATATGTTGGAGGTTGAAGGTGTACTTACGGATTGAACAGTGTCAATATAAGCTCTTGAAGCTCTTTCCGGGGACCAGACCAGCTTCATTTTCTTCTTCCTTTTTTTGATATAAGTTGAGGGTGTTTGGGGGTTGAGAAAATTGGTTTGGGTGAGTTAGCTGTTTGGTTGGCTTTATAAATAGTTTGAGAAGACTGTTTGTTTTTGTAAAACCGTTGACATATTGCCTAGGCATATACATCGTGTAGATTAGGTGTAGAATAACTTAATATCAATATCTCATTTTTTTTTTTTTAACTGTGAGACAAC